GGACGCATTATCGAGAAATCCAGTTGAAACAGAACAAGCTCAACTTCTACCCTTAGGGGCAGAAGATGTCATCGAAGAGTACAAATCCGATTCAAGTTCATCAATACAATTATCTCACAGAGACATTTCAATTCCTATTCATTACGGGGAATCTGATAATTCGACAACGCGCTAGGGAAAATTTACAAAACGCTAAACAAAGATCCAAAGGATATTACGATAGAAAAATAAATCTAAGGAAATTCACTCCTGGACAATTCGTGTTTTTATTAAGAGGAACCGTTATAAGGAAATACGATAATCAATATGTAGGGCCATATGAGATTATCGAAGTATATGAAAATGGAAATGTCAAACTTAAGATATCTCAAAAGAAAACCAAAATCGTCCATTCAAATCTAATCAAGGAAGCGCACTAGATAAATAAATCTTTCCCAAATTGTCACAAAATAACTTTGAAATTTTATTTAATAGGAAACAATGGGATATTTTGAAACTCAAGAAATTTCCCACTGGGATTTAATTGAACAAGAAGAAGTGTGGGAACAATTAGCCCACGAAATGTTCGACTTAAGAGAACAGTTACAGGAAATATTGAGATTAGAAAGACAGCTACGGAGAAGAGTATATCGAGCGCGCATGAGGAAGGAGTTAGACGATCTATGGTTGGAAGATAATGACGATTCACCATACGACATATTTGACTTAAGGTCATTATTTTACTTATCAATATTAAATAACTACAGGAGATTGATGTCGGGAATAGGGATTTTAGAATAAAAGAAGAAAAACAAATATTTTAAAATAAATGATTATATTTTAACAAAATGTGAAATAGAAAATATATAAAGGATAATTGTTAAACTAAAATACTTATACTATATCTATAGACCATACATCTTATATTCTACTATCTATTGCAATATGCTGAAATGACAATTTTAAATTTTTAGAAGTTTAGAATTTTGAACATGACAAGTATAAAATAAACCGAAATAAAAATCCAAAAACACAAAAACATCACTATCAAAAAACTATCCACATTTTCACTTTCACCGAGGAGGGTTCTGAGGCCTTCGCAATGGGGCAGGAGGATCTCGCGGACGGAACAGTCGCCTTCCGTCCTGAATCTCTGCTACCGGAACGGCGGGCCTTACCCGAATCCCGGTAGTGACGAACCAGAAGTAGTCCCCTATCCCCGGATAGAAAAAATAACCAGGACCTCTTACTTCGCCAATGTTAATATGGCTGAGAATCCTGGACATCTGTGGGGCAGGGAGCTGAAGCCACTCGTCTGGCAAGTCAACAACCTCTTCGTGACCGTTTAGATGGTTAAGAAGGGTGTCAAAGAATTCCTGAAAATAAACAAAATTAGTAAAAACTACCGAGACAGGGTCCTACTCCACAACGAAGCCGTACGGCGCGGGCGTTCAGCTAAATTGACCCCGAAGTGGATAGGCCCGTACGAAGTAATCGCGAGAAATTGGGCGGTTACTTACACTATAAAGATGGGTCGGAAGACCATCCTGGTTCACGCAAACCGCCTAAAAAACTTCGCTGAACACTAAGAAGGAAGCGGGATGGCCACAGCCGGAGAACGAAAGGAAATACTCCAGGAATACGTCATTCAAGAATAAGGGGCACACACTATTTATTTCGAAGTCGCTCTACATTTGTCGCCCGCACATCGCGCACTCCTCGCCGAACAATCGCTGAAGACCCAAGAAATCGGGTGGGTCCTCGTCTCCCTTGAAGACACCGAGGCCCCACATGGCCTCCACCGTCCGCCAGCACATGAGTCTTCGGCGGCGGATCTCCCTCAGGACTCGAACCCCGAACCTCTCGACCGGGCTACGCTCCAGGAAAATCGAAAGGATTAGATTAAGGGAATTGCACCCAAAATAATCATGGAAGCTGTGCTCCACTAGGCTAATGACCAGAATCGAGTCTTCACTCGAGGCCACGAGAGGCGAACGCCGGGTAGAAATTGCGCGATTTTCTTTAAGGGGGGTGGGATGTTATCCTGAGGAGTAAAATGCACGTCGTGAGAAAAAATACAGCGAACCACTTCGCACACACGAAGCAAAGGGAAAGTAACCAATACTAACCACCTCCTGCAGAACGGCAGGCCCCATGTCTTTTCCTTCGCAAATTATTACACGATACATCGTGTTTCAAAGTCAGGAACGGAATTAGCTCCCTAGAGCTAGCCGCGACCGAAACCAGGGAAGAAGGGGAATTAAAGAAAGAGGGAAATCGCACTAAATAGGCAATTCCACGATTCGGCCAGTTTGAAGTAACACGCTATCCCTCTTGCAGAACTGTCCTGCTAACGGCAAGGGACCGAACGGTGCCTATATTTTTCCAAGTCGACGTACGTCGACATACTGTACAACACTTGATTGTTTCAATAAACCTTCTCTGTTTTGTTGTATTCACGCGAGTTTCAACTCCTTAACCGGCAACGATCCCAAAAATACCTTGGCCCTTACCTCTCGAACGAACTCCTTCGTCACCGAGACGTTACGGCACAACAATAGAAAATATATGAAGTTATAATGTTTAATGGATACTTGTACATACAAGCCTACGAAGATTTTGCGAGATCAGTTATTAATACGTTTTTTTTTTCTTCACGAGTATATCTTTGGTTTTCCAGTCGGAACCATTCCTTGCATATACACTCGAAATCGCTTTCTCGAAATTCAAATTTGTCTGCTGTCTCGTTCTCTGAAAAAAAACCTGATTAGGGCATGACTTCAGAATTAATGGTTAATAAACTGAAGCTATTTATGAAATACCTTTGATTATCTTAATCATTTTCAAATTATAAATGCAATATTTGTCCTTTCGTCCAATTCACCATTTATATTCAGATCTAGACTTAGATGTAGAGATCTCAGATCTGCTTCTCTGAAGCTGTACAACGGATGGTACATCCTACGGCACTCTTAAGAAATAAAAACTCCCCGTTTCTGCAAATTATGTAGAGAATAAATAAAATGCTTTTTAATTGTAATGTTACAGTTTTGTCATTATTATTATTATTATTATTAGTTTACCTGAGTCATGTCCTCGGTGTAATAATGGGTAATCATTCAATGTTGTACCTGAGAACTTTTTATGATTTTTTCGTGGAGTGCCGATTAGCAAAGCTGAAAAATTCCCAAATTTTCAATAAATATATTGTAATGCGACAAAACGACCAACCTCTCAGTACTCCTGTACTGAGAGGGCACTCGTTACAAATAGACGACAAGGACGCGCGGCTGGTGTCAACACTAGCCAATAGATGAAAAATGTCTCCCGAAAGTAAATCCGCGAAAAGTAATAGAAAAATAATCCGATAGAGGATTAGCGCTTCTCGCTAATAAATATCGGATTACAATTAGTTAAATAACACATTTCAGATCAATTTAAGTATTCGAACAGACTAAGTCTAAATTCACCGAGAAGTGCCGCGTAAGAACAGTAAAGTCAGCGTAGATTAAATCCGAAAGGATCACGCGTCGTAAAATCGTTAAATTAGTAAGCTCCATTTATATCCTCCGGGATAGAGCATATTAGTGTCATAAAAAACCATAGTAAATAATCTTGTCGACGGCTACGGCACATTAGCATCCGCTATTCAGCCCAGACCGACACGTAGAGAAAATGTGTCAAGTTCTGAGGAGACCACCGCGATCTACCTCAGAAACTTCAATTATCGCCATTTTGTTTAATCTATTATCCGCGCCGTTAGTAGTTGAATCGCACACAATGCCATACCCAATAAATAGGCACAGCGCCACTAGGGCTACAGGACCAACACAGGCATACCGTCTGTACCCCACAGACAGGTCAGAGTGATACAGGAATAGAAAAACAAGTATAGGACGACTCCTAGACAATCCTTTCCCTACAATACCGACGTTTGATTAAGACTGGGTAATTCACATTGATTATAAAACTGTTGTACCGATTATCGATTATTCAATAAAATTTTGTTATTTTATTTTACTCTATCAACCTGTATCGACTAAATTCTTAAAGACGCCAGCCCCGAGCACTTATCTACATCTCATTTCGTACACTCATAAGGAGCGTACGAAATTGCACTATCGACAAACGTTACAATAGATAAAGTCTTATTATCATAATGATATTTATTATGATTGTTATTGTTATTACTTATAGGAAGATCATTTACCTGATATATTATTTTTGTTCTGACATGCAGTATCTTGATAAATTTTTTTATATTTTAAAAGTTTGTGAAGTCATCTTTTAATAAAGCTGGAGGTACCTACTCCTTAGACGACTACGGTCAGGAACTAAGGGAATGGCTACGAGCCGCATGGACGGTAGCCGGGGCTAACGTACGTTACGCCAAGGAAAGGTCTAAACTGACCTACGACGCGAAAGCGAAGCCCGAAGAATATCGGATCGGAGATAGGGTCCTACTCCACAACGAAGCCGTACGGCGCGGGCGTTCAGCGAAATTGACCCCGAAGTGGATAGGCCCTTATGAGGTAATCGCGAGAAATTTGGCGGTTAATTATACCATAAAAATGGGACGTGAGACCATGCTGATTCACGCAAACTGTCTAAAGAGCTTCGCCGAGTACTAGGAAGGAAGCGAGGTAGGGACGCAACTGGAGAACGAACGGAAATAATTCGAGAACACGACACTTGAGGATAAGCACACACTATTTATTCACCCAGCTCTCTCTACATTTCTCGCCCGCACGTCGGGCACTCCTCTAGAAAGAGCCTCAGTAGGCCCAGGAAGTCGGGACGATCCTCGTCTCCGGCGAAGACACCGAGGCCCCACAGGGCCTCCACCGTCCGGCGACACAGGAACCGTCGGCGCCGGATTTCCCGGAGCACTCGTACTCCGAATCTCTCCACCGCAGACCGATGATCCTCCCTCGCCGGGATTATTAGCTGGTTCTAAGAAACAAAATACAATCAGTCAAAAGAGGATGCAGTGAACCACTTAGCTCACGAGAGGAAAAGGACGGTTGCTGATACTAACCAACTCATGCAGAATGGCTAGCCCCACGGTGACTTCCTCACCATATACAACTCCATAAATGCGATTCATCGCTCACGGATAAGTTATAAAAACGGAATGAGCACTCAGGAGCTCGTCACGACCGAAAACCAGAAAAAGGGGGGAATTAAAGAAAGAAAGAATTTCCACTGGATAGGCAATTCCACGGTCTGGTCAGTTTCGGGTAACGTTCTCTTCCTCTTGTAGGACTGTCTTGCTGACGGCGAGCTGCGTAAACTCCAGAGAAGCGGAAAAGGGGTTTACAGTGACCAGTTATGGCAGCAATCCAGGGATATTCTACGAATAAATAGGAACCCTCTCAGAAGCTAAGGCCACGTGTAGGCTAGCCATAAAGATAGATCTCGCTGCCGTTATGAAACGAGAAGCCGACGTCAGCTCTAATTTGCAGCAGCTTTTAGAGATATGCGGCAGGCAAGGAGGAAGTGACCTTCTCTGTCCAGCCGTCGTAGATTCCGTGACAAGGATGGTGAAAAAAATAGAAGCCGGAATGGAAACGGTACATGATCTCGTGAAACCAGATGCAGCGCGTACGCGCAGGGGATTGATCGACGAGCTAGGCTCAATCATAAAGTCCATTACCGGAAATATGGACGCCGCGGACGCGGAAAGGATCAACCAAGAAATCGCCGCCATACGCTCGAACCAGCGAACGCTGAAAGAGAGTATGAAGGACCAACTACAAGTGACCGAGTCCACTCTGCACCTCTTCAATGACACCTTCACCAATGTCCAGACCAACGAACTGGCTCTGCAAGAACTCGTGGCCCAAGTAAACCTTACGTTGACGGTAGACATGAGTATCTTGATGAAGGAACAATGGCTAGACGTGGGCCTCACAGCTCTAAGCGTGATAGTCGAGGCCCTGTTAAACGACGTAAAGGAACTAGTGTGGCTACTCGTCGAAATTGCGAGCGGCAAGGTGAGTGCGGCGATGCTACCACCGAGAAAACTCGTAGAGTACCTCACAGATGCACTACCTCACTTACCAACGGGAACCGGATTCCCGGTGCTAATTGAACGCAACGAAGCATCTACCCTAATGAGACTAGCTGATACGAAGGCCTTCAGTCAAGGGAACGCCATCGTCGTCATACTTGACTTTCCGTTAATAAGCCAGAAGAGGTACTGCGTAAGCAAGGTATACCCGATACCCGTGAGGTCAGAGAATAAGGGTTAGATTAGGGGAATTGTACCCAAAATAATCATGGAAGCTGTGCTTCACTAGGATAATGATCAGAATCGAGTCTTCACTCGAGGCCACCAGAGGCCAACGCCGGGTAGAAATTGCGCGATTTTCTTTAAGGGGGGAGGGATGTTGTGCTGGGAGTCTCCTGACCCCATTGAGAAACGCCAGGCCAAGTAGTTCACGCGTGTAGCAATGCGCTAAGTCAGAACTAAAGGCGGCTTGGCAACCAAGATGTGGAAATCTAAAAATCGCACAATAATCACTTTTCGGAAGTCCAGCTTATGGCTGCACATCCGAAAATCGACAGTCTACATTTAAAACCCAAACGGATAAGGTGGTCTCGTGGAGTAGACTCGGTACAGGAAATAGGAGGACCAAACGTTACCTATATTTTTCCAAGTCGGCGTACGTCGAAATACTGTACAACATACTTGATTATTTCAATAAACCTTCTCAGTTTTGTTATATTCACGCGAGTTCCAACTCCTTAACCGGCAACGATCCCAAAAATACCTTGGCCCTTACCTCTCGAACTCCTTCGTCACCGAGACGTTACGGCACAACAAGTGGCAGTGGAACTAGTCGTCGAGCTGCGTTTCCATTATATGAATCCATGTTGTTTTTGGAGAAACACATAAAAAGAAGACTGTATGTTGATACAACTGTCCACCTACTACTTAACACTGTCCCATTTGATCTGACCTAAATTGCTCATTTTTTGTAGATCATATACCAACGTGTCGAATTTTAAGCATCCCAAGAATGCACATACTGTTATGGAAAAAGATGTAAACATTGAATCTCTGGAGTCCTTTGCATCCTGTTCAAATGCTGATACCCCTTCGATGCAAATTAATGATGACACTAATTTACCTTCCTGTACGTTACACGATTCAAGTTCTACTACTCCTGAGCAGGTTTCCTCACATATATTAGGTTCGACCACCTTTCAATCGCCTTCGCCTACACATTGCTTTAATGCCATTGAATCTGAAGATTCATCAGACACATATGACTCATTAAGATCACGATCGACTTCTCTTACAAGTGGAACACAGTCAAGTCGCAGCATACTGAAGAATTGCAATAAAAGGATAGATATGACCCAGATGCAAGAATCTTTCGTATGTAAAAGTTTCTTTTTAAACAGGATGAGACAAAACCATGCGAATCTAATTTCGTAGTCCAGACTTAATTTCCAGGAACGTCTTCACTATTATAACCTCTGCGCACATACATGTACTGCCACTCAACTTCTCCTACAGGACTCAAAAAGTAGTCTTTCAGCAAATCCCTTTGGTCATATGCTTCTGTTCTTGCTCGATGCGCGACTGATGGTCGATATTTTTCAATGCATCTAAAGACATCCTTTCGCCATTCTCCGGGAATAACCTCACCGCTCTCTGATTCATAGTCTACGAAATTAGTTGGGCAGTATATCCTGTGTCGTGGTGGCAATACATCGTCAATAGTTTTGAGATAATTATGGAGACATATACAGGCCATAACTATTTTGTCCACACTATCAGGATACATGGCGATAGGCTTAGTGAAAATTCTCCATCGTGATGCAAGAATCCCGATCGCATTTTCGGTCGTCCTCCTGGCTCGCGAGAGTCGATAGTTGAAGATTGCTTTATCTTCGAGCAAATTGCGATCAGAATATGGTCTCATCATATTTTTTGTCAATTGGAAAGTTTCATCTCCAACGAAGAAATATGGTGTCTTCAAATCCATACCAGGCAATTTTGCTACACCTTGAGTTAACTTCAGTTGGCCACCAATCAAAGCTTGTCCAAATTTCGACCGAGAAAAGACACCAGCATCATTATTGCTTCCATAAGCTCGAACGTCTACCAATGTAAATTTGTAATTATGATCACAGGCTGCCATCAAAACAATACTGCAAGTCTTCTTATAATTATAATACAAGCTTCCAGAGTTTGGCGGTGCTTGAATTTGAACATGTTTGCCATCTACAGGTCCCACACAATTTGGGAAGTTCCAATCATCCTAAAAACCGTAACATATATTTTTCCAGTCTTCTTCCGTTGGAACTCGGAGATATATAGGTGACAGTATGTTTATCAAAACATTACAGGTTTCTTTGACCACCTTATACACCGTTGATTCTCGAACGCGGTAGGATAAGGCAATTGATAGTGGTAGATCTCCAGTTGCAAGATATCTGAATAATAGAGATACAGAATAGTTACATATATGTATAATAATATCGTTTAATTATTGACCTCACTCAGCATACCTGAAGGTTATAGCAAGACGATTCTCTGGATTCAAGGCTCTTCAACTTCTTTTGGTCAAGTATGGTTTCACCATCTCCAACAACGTATTGAAAACGGGCAATGTCATTCTTGTATACCGAAAAAAAATCATTGGATCTTCCTTCATTTCTTGAAGTAAATGTAAATAATCTCCTTGTTCAGAACGTATGGTGTTGATTGGTCGCACCCACCATTGTCGATTTACCCATCTTTTCGAACATTCCTGCTGCATCAAAATTAGACCTGCCCCCAAAATCAATAGCCCCAGGATAAATTCATCCACATCATCCATAATCTTTTAAAAATTCTGCAACTGCTCCTGTGAAAAATATTGTTCCATTAATGTTTGTGCATATATTTTCAGCCATTCTGATCAAGTAACAGTAATTTATTTCAAGCATTTTTATTTAAATAACTAATCAATTGTTTAATAGAGCTCTAATTCAAGATTGTTCTTCAGTTGAATAATTAATAACGAAAAAACGTAAATATATCCAAAATAGGCATTATAAAACAAAAGCGATACGTGCAATTTTAAGGTTAGGAACCAAGTAATGAAATGATTTTCCTGTAAAACTATAATTTAATCTGCATATCATGCATCGCAATATAGTTACAATTTATAAAATATAAAATCCTTAATTATAAGTACATAATTGTTATTGTGTACTTACTTTTTACAACAGAAAATAACTAAAAAAAGAAAATTATAGTACTTATGTACAATGACGACATTTTAATAAAAATTTGCAATTCTTTCTTGAGTGTGATTGGCCGTAGCTTATTACTTACGCGTATGGTGTGCGATGGTGCTTACTGATTACGGCTTACGGTTACGTCTTAAGTCGTTACGTCGTTTTGTGTGTGAAGGACCTAAAACTGCAAAAAGGGTGGGGCCGGATATTTTCTCCCCCATAGCTGGTGGACGTTCTGTAACAGAAAAACAAAAAGAGTGTTAAAAATGTCAAAATGAAGACATGTAAGGATACACACACACAATTTGACACGTACCATCAGTACCACCAGCTATCCACGTCCACGGTGAACGGCGACGAGCCGAAAAGACGGCCCAGGGAGAAAATGTCCTCCCCGCCCCAATCCTCCTCCCAGTCCATCCCTACTTTTAGTTTTTTTTTATTCCCTTACACTTTCCTTACACTACCGCGGATAGAGCGAGAATAACGGTCCGGTCCACGTCCAGCCGCTAACGTAAAGGTAGCGGAGGTGGTGGATCTTCACTATCGTCAGCAAAATCACAGTCACATCATGCACCATAATACTTACCTCGAAACACACACAACCAAAGTCGTAATGTAAACTACACTCGCGAACACCACCACGCGACTTCCAAGAAACTCTGTAATGCCATCGCATACGGGGAAATTACAATTAATCTCCCCCGAAGATGAAGAACGCATGCCCATGCAGATAACGGATACGCCCTCTGACATCTTTGAAAAAGTAGCGATTGACGCCGTTGGCCCCTTCGACATTTCGCTCTCCGGGAATTGGTACATCCTCATGATACAGGACAATTTCTCGAAATTCTGCGCTGCCGTTCCTATACCGAATATCAAGGCAGAAACCATCGCGTTAGCCTTCGCGAAGCACTGGATTGCTCTTTACGGACCCCCTAAAACTATTCTCACTGATCGCGGCGCATGTTTCACTAGCAAGCTTTTCCAACAACTAGCCGAGATTTTCCGAGTTAAAACACTTACCACTTCCGCGTACCGCCCACAATCTAATGGCTCCCTCGAACGTAGTCACATAGTACTTGCCGAATATCTGAAAGCATTCCTCTCTCGTTTCGATGATTGGGATGAGCTACTGCCATTCGCGATGCTCGCGTATAACACCTCAGTTCATTCGGCGACGAACTTTAGTCCATATGAACTTATGTACGGGAAGATCTCGCGCGCGATTTCTGCGTTTCCGCCTGTCGAAAAAATCGAGACGTACACCCAATGCGTGGTTGATTTGGTGACGAGACTCGACGAAATCCATCGAGTAGCGACGAGCAACCTCATCTCGGCAAAGGAACGGTGAAAGCAACAATACAACCGTTACGCTCACCCCGTAAATTTCGAAATTGGAGACGACATCTATGTCCTCCAAGAACTGCGAAAGGGAAAATTTAGCCCTCAATATCATGGGCCCTACGAGGTCGTCGATATCACGGAAAAAGGAAATGTGACGTATGCAAATAAGGTTGGGCGGCTCGAAACTAAACATCCTAATAAATTAAAATTGGCCAATTAGTAATCGCAACGACGAGGTCGTTTCTTGTTACAGATATGGCACGTGGCAAAATGTTAATATCAATGGGGACGACTCTGACGTTAATCCTGGCAACTATTGGCGCCACACCCACGGCATACCAGACGCGGCCGATGCCGGGACATCCTGGCATCTTTTATGAACGCCTTCCGGACATACGCGGAACCACCACCAACTGGAAAATCATCACCTATCTCGACCTCGAGTGGCATCTATCACTGCAGCCCTGGGGCACCCAACATATGGGCAGCATCATGTACGAGTGTAAGAATCACCTTAGCGCCACTCAGTGCATCAGCTTCCTATCCAAAACCAGGCTCGATCGCCGTGAGAAGAGGATTCAAAATTTGAAAACACATATCCGACTCCTCGTATCACCCGAGAAGGAAGAAAACGGCCCCAGACAACAGGCCACTCGCGGAGCGCCCCTGGGATTCATCGGCTCCATCTCGCACGCACTACTCGGGACTCTCACGGAAGACGATGCGGAGCAATACGGCCACGAAATCACCGAACTTGAAAAAAAGGGCCAAGATTTGGCGCAGATAAATGTGATAGGCTCACACGTACACGCTCTCGATAGGGACATTCAACAGATCGCCAACGTTACTATCGATATCCAAAACACTTTACGTTGGGAGCTCCAAGACATCCATCGCCTCAACTATACTATTCATCTTATCAGTCTATCGAACAACATGATCGACGCTGCTGATGCTTATATCGACACCTTGCAACGCTTTGTGGACGCCATTCGCTACGCGCAACTCGGAATCCTGCACCCCGATTTACTCTCCGTCGAGCAGCTTACCACCGCAGCTCGCCATGTAAGGGAATCTACGGCGTCTCTTGAGTTTCCTGTTACGATGACTGACCTGCGAGCGACAGATCTCTCAACTATCAGTCGCATCACTACCAAGTATCAGGAGGGTCGTCTCCTGGTGAGTATCACATTGCCGTTACTGGAAGCAAAACCTTTCCAACTGTATAGGCTCTACCCATGCCTTCGGCCCCAGAACTTCAACGGAACCACCAAGGGCACGGCCTACATCCAGCCTAAGCAGCCGTATATGGCCTGGTCTAACGAGCAAGGGAAATATTTCACTTTTGATGAACCGTACTTGAAGAAGTGTTACCACCTTCCATACAACTACGCATGCCCATTGCACATGGCCTTGCGAGACGTCCATGAGGACGATTCTTGCGGAGCACGCCTGCTCGTCTCACCGAACAGCGATACTCTACGCAGGTGTGACATCAGAATAGCCCGCAATCATCAGGCCCAATGGACGTTTCTGGACAATACTTATGGATGGCTCTACTCACTCGAAACGTCTGACAGTCTGCGCATTCAATGCCGCGACGGTACTGCAGCCACGGTCACCCTTGAAGGTACCGAAGTCCTTCAGCTGAATCTAGGATGCACAGGCTACTCCTCAACCATCACACTCCCGTCATCCAGTATGATTCCATCGTCAACTGACCGAGTTCACCAGCCACCCACCATTCTCAACATCAGCGAGCTGTCACTCCCGATAGCCGAGACATACGGCAAGGAGCTCGACCCCCTGGTCCTTGCGGCACGGCAACCCTCTATAGGGGGACAATTACAGCAGGCGGACGTAAGCGGACGCCATCGAAACTCATCTGGATCAATTAGCCAAGGAGCAAAAGGCGATAAAATGGTATCACTCCACAGGAACCTGGGCATATGGAGGCATTGGCATATCACTGGCAACGATAGCAGGACTGGCGTTGTACGCACTTCGGGGCAGTATATCGGGACTGCTCCTGAGCTGCTGCACACGCCGCAGAACACGCCGAGAACCCGTCAGCAGATCAAGGCAAGATAACATCAGTTTCCCAATGGACATCCGACAACCCCTGCTGCTTGCCATAGAACCCAGCCGAATTGCACCTGCCATCCCAGCACAACCCTCATATGACCCTATGCACGCGGTGACACTTGTTACGTAAGGGATAAAGTGAAAGCGCCTTGCCAGCAACTCAGCCAAATTCTATAATTTTTCACGCGCTTTTTCGGTCTTATCGTCGATCCATTATCATTGTTGAACCGCGGAGATTACATCACCGAGGTTCACGCTAACAAGGGGGGTGTTATATCCCAAAGCGGATCTACTCAAGTAAATGCAATCGGTAAATTCTTTTCGGCACATCGAACTTTTCGATTGCCTCATGTAATTCCTGAAACGCTGAGTAGCAGGCCAGCCGCTCACAGTACATGCCAGCGCGAGGAATGAAGCAAGACTGTTTCTGCAAGATCATCAATATTGCGGTGCATTATCCCCAAAATTGGAGCTAAGGCACCTACAGTATTCGAAACCAATAGGGAGTCTTTCGCGAATCCTGGCAACAGACGGAACTCCTCTAGGAATCACCATCTAAATCGCGCGAATCCTGGCAACAGACGGAACTCCTCTAGGAATCACCGTCTAAATCGTCGAGTCTTGCTTGTTCCTCCGCTGGTAATATTTTACGTGTCTTCGGATCCTTGTGACCAAGCCTTCCCACCCGAGGGCCAGGGAAGTCATCGCGGTGTGCGTTCTATTAAATCTATCGCGAGTGTAACAACAGACGACGGATTGCCACAGAAAGAACTCAGTGAAGTGCAACATCAACTCTTCCAAACTTATCAACCATTGTAAGTCAACTTATCTTACCCACAATAAATCATCAATCTGTATACCTACACACGCTCTCATTCGTTGGCATTACATCCCCCACTTTCACAGCAAACAGATACGTCTAGCGTTAAATGGTGGCCCATAATCAGATATATCTACGCCCTAGCAGTTTCACTAGCTAAGGCTTAACACACCGTGTACGGGTTTTGCGTCTGACCGAACTCATACTTCGAAATAGTTGAGAATCGCGCGTTGCACGTGAGACGGCTGCCCGAAGTTAAGGAGTTCGGCCAGTATCGGCAGCCTGTCAACGAAAACGCTTGACGCTCAGATTAAGAAACAATTGCGAATCGTGCCATCTGGCTGTAAAGGTCAGTCAGTCAAG